AAAAAAAAAAGAGTTTTGTTCCAACACCTTCAAACTATCGTTCCAATGACACGTAGCATGAATATACGTGAGTAATCAAGTAATTCATCGAAAAAACTATAAAGAAAGCTCGTTTTGTTCCGGAAAACAACTAAAACGATTGTCCATTTATTATAGAATTGAAAAAAACGAATGTACAATCGTTATAGTTGTTTTTCCACCAAAATCTACCTTAAACGAGACTGTAATTCATCATATAATACATTATAAGTATATTAAACTCGCTATCGGTCTAATTTTAGTCTTTTTCATGTAAAATAACGAATTTACAAACATTTTACATGATCTAACCATTTTTTTAAAAAAAATAAAGAACAAGTGTTGTTATTTCAAAAAAAAAAAAGTTTCGTCATGAGTGTTTCGACGATCCAACATCTTCAAACTATCGTTCCAATGGCACGTAGCATGAATATACGTGAGTAATCAAGTAATTCGATCCAAAAAAACCATAAAGAAAGCGCGTTTTGTTCCGGAAAACGACTAAAACGATTGTCCATTCGTTATAGAATTGAAAAAACGAATGTACAATCATTATAGTTGTTTTTCGACCAAAATCCACCTTAAACGAGACAATAATTCATCATATAATACATTATAAATATATTAAACTCGTTATCGTTATAATTTTAGTCTTTTTTATGTAAAATAACGAATTTACAAACATTTTACATGAAACATGAATATACATGCATTATTAACTAATTCGATCGAAAAAACCATTAAGAAAGCGCGTTTTGTTACGGAAAACAACTATAACGATTGTATATTCGTTATAGTATTGAAAAAAGGAATGTAAAATCGTTATGGTTGTTTTTCGACCAATTCCACCTTAAACGAGACCTTAATTCGTCAATATACATGAATATACATGTGTTATGAAGTAATTCAATCGAAAAAATCAAAAAGAAAACGCGTTTGTTAAGAAAAACAATCATAACGAATGTACATTCGTCATAACATTGAAAAAACGACTAAACAATCGTTATAGTTGTTTTTCAACAAAATTCATGTAAAAAAAACGAATGTCCAAAGATATGGAAACATTATAACGGGTTAAAACTATCGTTCCAATGTGCTATATGACCAAGATACAATCGTTAACACGTATATGACCAAGGAAACAACTATCATTATTTCACAAATGAGTTTCGTCGCGACTACAAAAGAAAAAAAATATTAAAAAACGCCCGCGACAGCCTTCGTGTCGCGACCGCGGCAGGATGTCGCGCGCTTCTGTAGGTCGACATTTCGTGCCGTGACCGCGACGTGTATCGCGCTAGCGACAGTCGCATATGTCGCGCCCGTGTTGTATGTCGCGCCCGCGACATCCTGGGAAGCTCTCTGCCGGACCGAAAAAAATCAATATCTATAAGAAAAAAATATATGTTGCTTAGACAAGATAATTGTGGAAATACATGTTACTAAACTAGGAAATAATATACAATGCTCTTATGCTCTAAACAAATGGAAGATAAAACGTGAATGGCAAAAAAAACATGATAAATATTAAACCAACATGTTTATCAAGAACAAAATAAAAAAAACAAGTATAGTTATTTAACAAAAAGAGTTTCCTTATGAGTATTCCACGCTCTAACGAGTCCAAACTATCATTCAAAGGTGATATATGACTAAGAAAAAATGTGTAACACGTCATTCCATAAAAAAAAAATAAAAAAAAATAAAAATAAAAATAAAAAACCAAAATGGGAGCACGTTCTTTATGATTTTTCACCATAACGAATAAACATTCGTTATTTCATGTACCATAACGAATGTACATTCGTTATGGTAAATTTTTGGTTAAATACAACCAAAACGAGTCCACATTCGTTATACAATACATTATAAAGATAATACTCTCGTCAATGGTATAATTTTAGTCGTTTCTAAGTTAAAATATACTAGTATAATGATTCTTTATTAGATATTCTTCAGATAACAAATGTACATACGTTATGAAACTTGCATAACGACTTTACATTCGTTATGTACAACATCATCTAAAAAATAAAAAAAAAAACCCCTCAGTGACACAAAAAACATGATAAACATTAAACTAACATGTTTACCAATCATAAAATATGAACAAAAATGCTTATCAAAATAAAATAACAAGAAACCCTACAAAAAAAAAACAAAAAAAAATTGCACTTTCTTGGATATAATGTTTTGATCAACACATTTTTTTTTTTTTTGCTATATGAAATTCAAATTTATAAGAAAGAATCACATTTTGTTTTCTTCTTTTTTAAGAGAAGAACAAAGCAACCAAGCATGAGAGGAGAGGAAAAGAGCTCATCCGTCGCTTTTCCTCCGTCCGCAGGTGAAGAAAAGAGTTTTTTATTTTTATTTTTATATTTTTTGATACAACAAATAGAAGAATGCTATTAGTCTATCACTATATAAGGACATATTAGGTATTTCAAATTTTTATTTACCTTTATTGAATGATAAGGTTATTTAAATAAAAATATTATTGAAATGGTCATTTAAACAAAATCATGTTTTGACCCTCCCTTTTAAATAAAGCCCCCCGTTACAAGCCTCATATCCAATTATCTTAATCTAGCTACCATGATTTCATTATTAATCCATTATATTGGTCATTCTCAACAAAAGTCTATCTTTTTGGCAGACATCAAATTTAATACATTAATTTGAAAAAATCATAAAAAAGGTACACTAATCATTAGTGGCAAGATAAAATTCGTCGTTTCCTTTATGGTCTAATTCGAAAGTCATCTGATGTCCATTTCAAGCTGGTGACCTATCGTTGGATTCTTCTCGCCGAGACGTCCTATCCCTGAACTTTTAGCCCGACTGTAGTTCGTTTGGTCACTCAATTTTTCATTAAAAATAATTCGAGTTATTTTCTATCCAGTTTAATTCACGACGCCATATAGCACCCGATTTAGGTGAGTGACTCACCATCGGATTCATCTTGTCAAACCGGTCATACTCACGAAATTCAATCTCAATTGCAGTTCGTCTGTCTGCTCAATTTGTCATCCAAAATAATTTTAGCTCCACTTCCTTGTTATCTATCTGGGGGGTCATTTTAGTGTCTTATGGTGTACGTTTTAATCGGGTGACACACTGTTGGATTTTGTCTCATCAAGGCGGCCGTAACCACAAAGTTTTAGCTCAATTGGATTTCATTTGCCCAGTCAATTTTTTCATCCAAAATAATTTATGTTGTTCTATTTTTAGCTTAGTTTTTTCGTCCCGCTCACGGCCGTGACCAGAGACCAAGCCCACAGATGACACGAGACGCCGGAGTCGCGGCTCTGGGAGGCAACAAGGTCACCTACCTCGACACACACCGAAGACTGGGCGGCGGGGTTGAGGTCGTGTGATAACTAAGGAAGGAGGATGGGGGGGCTGCAGTTGGAGGAGGAGAGGAGCGAGGTGGCAGCAGTGGGGGAATTAGGGGAGACAGGAGTTTAGAGAATTTGGGTTGGTTTTGTCTAGAGTGCTTCGTTTCGCATTTCTCTCAATTCCACCTCCTTGGTGTTTTTCCTTCGGTGTCCATTGTAAAATCTCTCTTTTGAGGCTTACAAAATCTATATTTTCATTTTTTTTTCTTTTAAAGAAAAGGCACGGTGTAATATTTGGAGGTGCAATTAGGCTATGGCTGAGAGAGTTGAAATTGGTTGTTTAAGAACTAACATTAGTCGGAGAACACCTCTTTCTTACTCAATTCACCATCTCTTACCTCTTCTACCAGAGAAAACGTACCAAACCC